TATTCTTGGTCCTCACGCAGTTACACACATTCCGCTATTTTTCCGTAAGATCTTCGAGATCGAGCACTTTGCGTTACAGGCGGCCTTCCTGGAAGAGTGTTTCAGATCTACTTAGGGAGCAGGGGATGGTTTGGGAAAACGCTCCCTTCCCCCATCGCTATAAACCCGAGAGCCACCCCTCCAGGTATATTTGAAACCGAGACTTTTGCCCGTGTACTAGTATATGTAAGCGCTCGATCCTGTCGATCTAACGAAAAAATAGGGAACTGTCAACATTCTATCAGGTAGTTTTCAAAGATTTCAAAACATGTTTCAGATCCATTGTCAGGTGGTAACACTCTTAATGTATTTTTAAAAAGTCAGCCCGAATGTTTAATACTTATCTGATAAAACTTGTTATTATTAATTTATAAAATTGTACCGGCGAAAGAATGCAAAAGAAATGTTAATAATGAATATAAACATGATGGTTTGACAAATATCAATGGATATGTTTCAATTTCGTATTGTGCGACGGCTCATGATCAGTTCCCAAACTATCCCCCAACCCATGGCATTCCACCTCGATCTCCTCGATGGGTCACCTTGTGTTTAAAGCCATAACCACCCTAATGCGTTTTCAGAAGCACGCGTTTTCGTTTAGTGTGTCTACACTAAAATGTACGAAAACGACAGAATTTCACTCTGTGACGCAGCAGTTGAACTCTATGCGCATGCTTCAACACACGCGCCTGCGATATTTTCGGTCATCGTTTTCGACCGTCCACTCTAATACGATACGTATGCGCTTTTGTTTTGATCTATCTTCAACAGCGTTTTCACATCGATGCGTTTTCGATGAAAAAGCTCATAGTATTAATGTAAACTGAGAAGGCCTAAAAACATCATAATGGAGAGTTTAAGCTTCACGTATACGACAAACGTCAAATTCAAGTTGAGAATTTCTGGAAATAGAAAATCAGCAGATAAAAACGATTCAAAACAATTCTTATGGAGAAAAAAATTGCGTGAAGCTACTAATTTATGTGTACAAATAATGAACAGTAAAACGACAAGCAAAGGGGAAACTTGGTCACTTGGTACAAATTCGCGTTTGCCGTTTGACGTCAACGCGAAGCTTAACTTCTCTAGTGTGTGCTTCAGTTTAAACGAAACGTGTGTACGGGGCCAAAGTAGGAGCTGGGCTGGCGGTGACCCTGTTTTGATAAAATCATTAATCCAGCATTTAGACGATGTGAGGTAACAATAGCGTGTCGACTACAGAAAGCTAGGCTGAGTTCATGTCCCCTTAAAAGTCAACTTAGACGGTTGTATGTGAAAGCGCGTTTCAACGACACCTTGCACCTTACACTGTAGCACACATTAGAACTGAAGGGTACGTAATCTTTAAACAACAATCCTTCAAGGATAAATAAGAACGACATACGACGTGACGGAGCTAACGACTAGGGATTTACTCACGGACTTTGATGAAACAGTATCTTCAGAAACTTAACTAAGAGAGACAAAGAGAGGAACCCGGCTCCGGACATTCGATTGGTCTTTACTTTGCGGGACAACCTATTGTAGGTGTGTTACGCCGCAAAATGTAACAATTGACGCAAAATGTAACATTAACGCGAAATGTAACAACTTTTGACGCGAAATGTAACATTAACCCGAAATGTAACAACTTTTGACGCAAAATGTAACAACTTTTTAACGCGAAATGTAACAACTTTTTGACGCAAAATGTAACAATATTTTTAACGCGAAATGTAACAAGCAAAATGTTACAGCCTTGAAATAACTGAGAGACTTGGACATGAACCTTGTAGATAAAAAGTAAATTGTCTGGAAGTTACGAAAACAGTTTACTTGTATTAGCTCTGCAAACCAACAGCATGTCCAGCGGATTATTGTTGTCGTTTCAACAGTAAAGTTACCCGAATTAAATTTATCCAAAAGAAATGACCGGTTCTGGGAACGAGAAGTCTAAGGTCTGACGTATAGTCGGTTTAGGGACGTGACTCGCCAAATAGGAAAATCAAGTTTCTTTTTACTAAATGTTCGTGCCCAGGCTTATCGTGCGTTGGGTTTACGTTGCGTTCCCCGGACGTGGAAAGGCAAAAAATAAGTTCATGCAAAACCAAGTCAGTATAGTTCACGAATCAGGTTTTTAACAAATCTTCCGCGTTGCCAGCTTTTTAATTCCAAAACGGCTTTCACATACCGTGAAAGTTGTCTTGGAATGATCAGTCACGGATCACTATCAAATAAAAATTTAAATCACCGTACCAATGCTTTCACGAGAAAAACAGCCCTACCTATATAGCGCTAGCGCTACCTATATGTAAGGGCTGCCATCCTTCACTCTATCCAGCATTCCCGCTCGCGCTCTTGCAGGTGGCTTCTTTCCTATTTTTGTCCCCTCAATAATTAATGGGACAAGATCACCATGCCGTAGGGTGTGACCGAGCCAGTCTCTCTTTCTTCTGTTGTGACTCTGTTGAGAACAGATATGATGGCCGTCCCCTCACCGACACGCCTTAATACTTCTTCGTTACAGACTTAGTCAGACCAAGAAATGTCGAAACCCTTAATTACTCCAAATCCTTATCTTACAGCTCTGCAGCCCTCACATCACATCACCTCCTCCTCTTTCTTTAAGGTCCACGATTCGGCTCCATACAGAGGAGTATTCCAGAGTAACGTATTTTGTTATTCACTTCTTCAGGCTCGGCAGTTCTTTTCTCTTAGTTAACGCGTTCTTTGCTCGGGTTATTCTCGATCTAATTTCTTTCTCACATGATCCGTCCTTCTAATAAGGCTCCCAAGGTGGTTAAAGTGCCATTCTTGACTTAATTGTTTACCCTCAAGAAAGATCGTGAATTCCAGTCCTCCTCTTCCTTCCACCAGTCCTCTTACTGATTTTCATCACCTTAGTCTTCATAACATTAGTCTCCATACCATATTGGTGGTTTTCACTGTCACGTCATCTCAAAAATGGAAAAACTGAAAAATGGAAAAATGGAAACCTTGCTTTTAACAGCGAGTCTAGAATCTGGGAAATGGAAGAAGATAAATATACAAAAAGCCTTGCCAAGATTCAGGTTTGAGCAATATTTCATATGCGAGATATTCAAAAAAAGGTTTTACCAGATTTATAGAGGTTTGTATGGAGACGCCATGTTTGTGTCTCTTTCAGGGGCACAAATATGGCCGCCTGAAACCAACAGAAACATCAGTTTTTGAGTTTTCCTACTAATGCCCGAATTCTTCCCTTTAGGAACTCATAAAGATTAAAGTAATATTTATTCTGAGACAAGGAATGTTCACATAGCAAAATCTCCTAATGTTTTCAACCCACAAATGAGCTTTCCTGGCTGTCAGCTAGGCCGCGTCACGCAAAAGCCAGTGGAAATTCAATCGCCCGGTATCGCAAAACGAAGAACCCTTTTGAACCGAAAATTTGTTTGTATGAAGGTTTTAAGGTGCTGTAATACCGTATAAAAGCAGAAACTCAGAAGAAGCGATAGTTTCCTAGTTTGAATTTGGTGACGCCATGTGAAAACCAAGAAACACCAGATGTTTCTAGCCTTCGTAGCAGGCGTTAAAACGGGTAGGGGATACGGAGGAAGGGAAAAGGGAGGGTAGTTGAGGAGAGAGGGTAAGGGACGCCTGCTATAAGAACCTCCATTTGTTCATTTCTGCGGAGGCTGGCGTCCGCATATTCCTGATTGGCTGAGCCGTAATGAGTAACTTATTGGCTTGTATCCTGGTGTGTATTAGTGAGAGACAAACATGATGCTGACGTCAAGCAAATGTGTTCT